TTTCGACTTTCCGATCATTTAAAGTGACAAATTCGGAACCTTTTAGGTCGAATTTTCTACCCCTCTTCACTCTAGGGGCTGCACAGGCCGTATGGAGTGGCGCAAGGGATGCGCACTTCGTGGGGTCCAAGACGAACCAATGAGACGTCTACAGGCCAAATCTCGACATTCTAGCTCAAAACACTTAAAAAATACGCCGGCTCAAAAAAGTGCGCCGCTAATTTTGAGCAGCAGTGTATTTATACCTGGATCACCTGGCGGAGTCCTGTCGGCCGGGCCGGATGGGCTCCGCCGGTTGTCGGGCTAGGAGAGGAGGGCCTGCTAGGGCTGCTGGGCCCGCGGCGCAGGACGCAAGGTCGCGCACCACCAGCTCACACGGACCAGCCGGGTCGTATATCGTATACACAGCGCCCCTCCCAAGGTTGCCACCACCACCAGAGGCGACGAACCCATTCATAAAGGTGCGGGGGCAGCGCCGCGACACACACGATGTACACGAACAAGTCGCCAGCGTGGGTGGGCGAGCGCGCCGACCCCGTGCGAGCTCCGGGAGGGCCTGCTGCGGCCCGGCCCGAGCACGGCGGCGCAGCGCAGCACGCGCACAATATGGTAAAGTGCAGCGGCGGCGGCGGCGCAGAGTTGCACCGCGACGTCGGCGACGACCTTGGCAGCGACAATCACCGCTGCGAGAACGGCGACGCCGGCCCCCCGCGCGCGTATCCCCCCCCCCCCCCTCTCTCTCTCTCTTGCTGCTCTATACAGTACGGCCCCCGCCGCCATAGACGGCGCGCCACTTTTGCAGCACTAAAAATAATAGGACGGGAAGGCTCCGCGCCGCGCGCTTTGTCGCCCGGGCCCGCGAGTATGACTCCGTCAGTACAGTGCGTTGCGCGCCTGGCCTGTGATGCCTGACGGACACGTGCGCCTCGCGGCCCGCGGGGCAGAGAGGACAAAAAGATGGGCGACCCAGTAGGAAAGAAAGTCGCGATGGCTGAGCTGTCGATCCGCGAGCATTGACTATTCATTCTAGTTCGACGTCCGTCCCCCGCGCGCCCCACCTCACCTCATCTCACTCGCTCACCAAACTCACCAGTTGCACGATGCTGTCGATGGCGCGGTTGTACTTGTCGCACAACCCCTTCATGCTCTCGAAGCTGCAACAGAGGAGGCGGAACCGGTTATAGAGAGCGATCCGCAAACTACACGCACGCGCGCGCATTCCATACGACCCACCGGATGATGGGTCTTAAGCAAGATTCATCTAGTACTGTATACTTCACTGCCGACAAGTCGGCACAACAAACACACTCACCTGCGCGTGTCGTAGTCCGACAGGATGTTGTTCTTGAGGGCGAACTCGAGTTCGGGGTGATCCTCGCCCACCCATCTGGAAACGAAGAAAAACGCATATTATTATTCGGGATTAGTGAAAGTGAGTATTAGGAGAGGGAGTCCGTGGGGGTAAAGGGGGGAGGGAGAGGGGGGAGGGGTAAAGCATAACGGTGCCGTGGCGGCGGCGGCGCCTCGCACGTGCTCGAGCCGAGACCGAAAGAAACGTAAAGGTTACGGGGCGGAAGCGCGCGCACAACAACACTCGGGTTTCTCGACGGAGGACGGGGGGTCACAGTTCGGTGTAAACCAAAACACCGCGTCCATTCATTCAATCATTCATTCATTGACCCAGCCATTCGCTCAATCGCTGTACGTCGCCCCCAACGCACATCCATTCCCACGGCTCGATATGAGCCCCGCGGCGCTCCGCACGCGCAGCGCGCAGCCGCGGGGGCCCTCACTCACATGTGCCGGACCAGCGAGAGGAGCCGTCAAAACACATGTACAAAACACAAGACGACAGCAGCGAGGGAATTAAAAATCAAGAGTGAGGAGACGAAATGTTACGCCACGTGGTGAAAAACTCAAAATCACGCCACCGTCATTTTATTTTTCACGAAACATTGTTGATTTGCAAACATTTACATGAATGATATGAATGGCGGCATTGTCATCTTTGCAGTGTGTCGCGCTTTATGTAGTGAGAGAGGCCGCGCATGACGCATGTTTGGGGTGAAGTGAGGACATGTCAGGTCAGGGTGGTGGTGGTGGTGGTGGTGACCCTCGTCGTCATCGACAAAAGGCGAGTTTGGGCTCCGCCGTCCCACACAAGAAGGCCCTTACGATGTACACGCGGTCGTGTGTGGGGCGGGGGCGTGGAGGGTCCCTACACCACATAGTGGTGGACTGAACGCCGGGGCGGGGG